TTCCAGAGAACACTAAAAAATTTGAAGCATTGGTTGGCTTTTACAAAGTCCTTTAATTTCTAGCTATCCTGAAACGTTCTAATTTTGTCATCATACTTGATGGCCAGCTTTGCTAGATTTATGATTCTTGCCTGGAAGTTGTTTTTTTTTTCTTCCAAAGTTTTACATATGTCTTCTCATTGCCTTCTTGCTTTCATGTTTTTTTCTGAGAAATCAGAGCTTAATCTTACTGGTTTTCCTTTCTAGGTTACAATTTGTTTTTCCATAGCTGCTTTCAGGATTCTTTCCTTAGCTTTGATTTTGGAGAGTTCGATTTTTATTATATGTCTTGGTAACTTTCTTTTGGTGTCAATATTACCTAGGGTTTGTTCAACTTCTTGGATGCTCATTGTACTGTCTTTCATGATGTTAGGGAAATTTTCTTCTGTCAGCTCTTCAACAAACTTTTCTGTGTCTCTTTTTGGAATTTTCTTTATCTCTTTTGGAATTCCAATAACCTGTAGATTATATGTCTTCATGTTGTTCCACATGAATCTTTAGCTTTCTTCACAGTTTTTCATTCTTTTTTCTACCTTAGCAGTAATGAAAGATTTATCTTCATGATCACTAATTCTGGCTTCCATTGATTCAATTCTACTCCTTTGCCCTTTCAGTATATTTTCCATTTTTGATATTTTAGTACTGATCATATGTACCTCTGTCTGCAGGTTTTGTATTGTCTTCAATGTTATATCTCTTGTTGGATTGTATCTGTAGTGCTTTTCTGAATTCTTTCTTGTTCTCCTCTATCTTTCTATGGAACATTCGAATGCTCCTCAATATTATTCTCCTGAGCTGTTTTCCAGGTAGTTCTAGTGCCTTTTCTTCCTTAAAAGCATTTCTAACTCTTCCTTTTGGTCATTTGTTTGAGCTACTCTGTCTTTTTTTCTGAATGTGAGCTGATTTTTCTGTTGGTTTTTAGGCATTGTGGTGTTGTTGTATTTTTATTAATTTGATGAATGTATGTTGGTGTATTCTTAAGCCCTCACTAATTGCCTCCTGATCAGGAGATGGGTTTGTCTGTTCACTGGGTTCTATGAAGAAAAACATGGTATCAGGATTGGAGGAA